AACCAGGATCCACCCATTGTCTGCCCCTACCCATGGCAGGGAGGTTGTGGAATCTGGAAAACCCATGGCTCTGGCCATGGCATCCCTACTTGCCAGCCTGTGCCAAGGCACTGCAGCAGGATGGGCACCAGTTGCTGTCATGAGCTGTGATAATGTCTCCTTCTTAGCAATAAAAAGAGGGAAAAAAAAGGATTTGGATTTGGATTTTAGGCACTTTGATTAAAATTTAATCAAAGGCTGGTTTTCCACCCAAAATGAGAACTCGGGGAGGAAACCAGGAGGGGAGGAATCCAAACACACACAAAGAACAAAACCATCAGGAGAGGGAAAAAGAATAAGGGGAAAACAAAGCAAGAGGAAAAGAAGAAGAGAAATGAAACAGGAAAGAATGTGAGAGAGTGAAAAAATCTGAAGTGGAAATAAGCAATCAAAAGGAATAACAAAGGGAAAGGAGCAAACAAAGGAAAACACACAGAGAATAAAGGAGCAAGCAGGGACAGGGATGGAGCAAACTCCTGCAGAGAACAAAGAGGGAATGTGAGGCAGCCCAAGACACAAAACTGAGACAAGACAGCGCTGAAGACAAAGGGAAAGTGGACCAAAATAGCACCAAAGTGGAAAGTGAAGGGCGTGAATGTCCCTGGGAGCTGACTCTGGGCAAGGGGCAAAGCTGAGCCCGGGGGGGGCATGCACAGCCCCTGGGCTGCCTCTGCACCCCCAGCACAGCCCTGGGACTGGGAGGGCACGGCAGGGGCACAGGGAGCAGGGGACAGCAGAGCCCCAGCTGGGGCTGTCCCCTCCCCTCCCCTGCAGAGGGGACAGCTCTGCCCCAAGGGACCCCTGCGAGGGGCAGCATCCTCAGATGCTCTGAGCTCTGCAAGAAACGGCAGAAGGAGCCCTCCTTTCCACAGTGATCCCTCCTTTCCTCAATGATCCCTCTTTTCCTTAATGATCCCTCCTCTCCACAGTGATCCCTTCTTTCCTCAATGATCCCTCCTTTCCTTAGTGATCCCTCCTTTCCACAGTGACCCCTCCTTTCCTCAATGATCCCTCCTTTCCTCAATGATCCCTCTTTTCCTTAATGATCCCTCCTCTCCACAGTGATCCCTTCTTTCCTCAATGATCCCTCCTTTCCTTAGTGATCCCTCCTTTCCACAGTGACCCCTCCTTTCCTCAATGATCCCTCCTTTCCTCAATGATCCCTCCTCTCCACAGTGATCCCTCCTTTCCATAATAACCCCACCTCTCCATAATGATCCCTCCTTTCCTTAATGATCGCTCATTTCTATAATGACCTCTTCTTTCCTTAATGACCCCTCCTTTCCACAGTGATCCCTCCTTTCCTTGGCGATCCCTCCTTTCCTTAGTGACCCCTCCTTTCTATAATAACCTCTTATTTCCTTAATGATCCCTCCTTTCCACAGTGATCCCTCCTCTCCATAGTGCTCCCTCCCTCCCCAGACCGAGCTGTCCTGTCCTTTCCCTCCTCCCAGTGTCACTTTGGGGTCCAGCTGGCTCCAAAGCAGCCGTGCCAGGGCCAAGGCCAGCACTGGAGCTGCTGCCACCTCTGGGGTAACACCTCGCAGAAGGGTGAAAATGGCTGTGCAGCTGCTGTGGGAGAGGGGAGGGAGGGACATGGCTGAGAACCAGCCCAGCAGGGACAAGGGCAGGGCAGGAGCTGCTCCAGGGGCAGAGATCCCCCCAAGAGTCCATGGAGCAGCTGGGCCACTGCAGCCCCTGGAGATCCAGGCGGGAGCAGAGACCCCTGGCAGCCCCTGGAGGCCCCCTGGAGCAGGGGGAGATGCCCCATGGAAGCTGCAGCCCCTGGAGAAACCCCTGGAGCTCTTTCAGGAGCTGTGGCCCATGGGGGACGTATCCCATGAGGGGGACCCCAGGGTAGCACAGGGGGAACTCGTGAGGAAGGATCCACAGGCAGAGTGGGGTGGACCAAGCCCATCCCATCCACCTGCAGCTCCTGGAATGGCAGAGCTGGCAATGGCTGGGTGAAGGTGATCCTGGATTTTCAGTTTGCCTCTCACCACCCACCCCATTTGTAATTTTAATTAATCCAATTATTGTTCCCTAAATCAGTATCCTGCCCATGGTGGTGCCTGGTGAGTGCCCTCTCCTGCCCTAGGAATTTTCCATGTGATTTTCTCCCCCTGCCATGCCATGGAGGGTGGCTGGCAGCAGCTGGGTGCTCTCCAGAGCCAGCCAAGGCCATGCCCACCACAGCTCTCCCAGCTCAGCATCTCCACAGCCTCAGGAAGCTCCTGCACTGCCAAGGATCCCTGGGCCCTGTCCTGGTAGCCAGAGCTGCATTCCTGAGCCAGTTTTCCAAGGATGAAGCTTCAGGCTCTCTTTCCAGTGGCAGGAAACACCCCAGCTCCTCGTGGGACCTCGGGAGGCTGGAAGGATCCCTGTGGTGGCTCCTCCACTCTCAAAATCCAGCTGCTGCCACTGGTTCGGTGCTGAGTGCAGCTCAGCTCAGCCCCTTGTGCCGCTCTGGATCATTCCCCCCAGGCTTGCATTTCCAAGAGCACAATCAGAAATTAATTCCTGCCTGGGTTCTTGCCCATAACAATAAAACCTGGGATTACAACAGCCAGGAAAGACATTTGGAGAGCTCTTACCCCTCACACTTCCAAGACACCGGGTGGGATTGAAACAAGAATTCCTCCTGTGGAAAGCTCCCAGGGTTATCCCATCTCTCTCCCTGCTCTTTGCCTTCTGTTAGAGGAACAACCCTTGACACAGAGGAGCAGGGTGACTGCTCCAGGCAGTGAGCCCTGAAGGAATATCCCAGAAGGAATATCTGGCACTGCAGGAGCCCCTCCCCAGGTTGTGCCTTTCTCACTGCCCTGGGCACAGCCAAGCTCAGCTCCACGCAGGATCCAAAGCCTCTGGGCCAAATTCCCAGCTGGGGTTTGCAGGAGTCACCCAACCCAGCAGGAAATGGGAACTGCCCTTTTCCCTGCCATAAATCCCCACCTGAGCCCTTCCTGGGTGAGGAGCAGCTGAGATGGGCAGTGTTTGTCACACTCATCCTCTGGGGTGTGACACTGGACCCACCTGCTCTGACAGGATTTCCTGCATGGCTGGACATTGCTGGGCTCTGGAGCTCCTCATTTCTGTGATTTTATTTGGTTGTGTTGCTGTCAAAGGCAGAGCTGAGATTCCCAACCCAGCAGTGGGAACTTCCCTGAACTCCTGAGAGAGCTGAGGAGCTCCCCTGGCTCCGGGGGGTTGTGGGGCTCCTGCCACACAACCATCATCAAAGCCACCATTGATTTGGGGAATTTTTTGATTTATAAGAACATTGATTTCAGGAACCCCCTGGCCCCAGTACTCAGGACCAGCCACCCCTCAAGATCTTGGCCTTGCAGTAAAATGAGCTCAGCCCCCACATTTCTCAACTGGAAGGGTTTATTTCTGTCCCTAAAGTGGCCCAAAGTATTTCTGATGTTTGAAGGATTGTTTAAGTTGGGCAGTGCCAGGGGAGAGGCCTCCATCCTTCATCAAGTCAAAGGAAATACAGGTTGGATATTAGAAAAGTTTTTTACAGAAAGGGTGATAAAGTTCTGGACTGGCTGCCCGGGGAGGTGGTGCAGTCACCATCCCTGGGGGTGTTTAACAAAGCCTGGATGTGGCACTGGGGGCCAGGGTTGAGTTGAGGTGTTGGGGCTGGGTTGGACTCTGAGGTCTCTTCCAACCCAGTGATTCTGTGAATTCATCCCACTGTCCTTGGGAATCCAGCTGAGACTCCTGATGGCCACAGTCACTTTTCCCAGTCCCAACCCAAGCAAGGATGGCTTCCCATCTGCGAGGAGGAGCTGCAGAGTTCCCAGTGCCCCTTTCCACCCTGGAGTGCTCAGCTCTGTGGCCATGAGCAGTGGATCAGTGCCCAAATGGCTCCATGCCCGAGCAGAGGCTTTGCCATTGGGAGGCCATGAGTTCAGCTTTCAGTGTTGAAATGAGAGTTTCGTGTGATTTGAGGACTAGAGAGAACCTTCTGGACAAAGCTCCTGCAGAGGAGGGGTCCCTGCTGCCTGCAGAGGTCGTGGTCATGGTCAATGGTTCAGAGTCCTGCTGGACATCAGTGACCAGTGGTGTCCTCAGGGTCAGTTTTGGGGCTGTGGTATTTAAATATCTCCATCAATGACACACGAAGGGATCAAGGGCACCCTCAGCAGGTGACACCAAGTGAGGGTGCATTGACACCCCTGGAAGACAGGGCCATCCAGAGGGACCTGGAGAGATCCAGGAGTGGCCCTTGGGAATATCAGGAAGTCTAGCAAGGCCAAGTTCAAACTGGGGCAGCCCCCATGATCCATCCAGGCTGGGATGAGCAGCTGGAGCAGCTCAGGAGAGGGCCCTGGGGTTGCTGTGGGTGACACTGGCCATGGTCCAGCCCTGAACCCCCAGCCCTGGGCTGATCCCAGTGTGGGCAGCAGGGCAGGGATTGGGATTGCACTGGATGGGCCCTCCAACCCAAACCATTCTGGGATTCCATGATTCCATCTGCTCTGAAGCAGACTGAACCATTTTCCAACACGGATCTTGCCCCTGGGTGGGAAATGCTCCCCACAGGGGCTCAGGTTTCCATCCTGTGCCATCCTGCAAGAGCCCTGTGGCTCCAGAGCCCAGCGGGGGCTGGATGTGCCCCTGCCCAGGTGACACTCACCTGCTGTGCTCCAGCTCCCTTTGGTCACAGGTGTCCCCACAGAGACCCTTCCCTCCCCCCAGGAGAGCACCAACCTCAGGAGAACATGGGTGGAAGGAATGGGTTCAAGGAGTGTCCCCAGCTCCAGGTGGCATCAGGAACATTTAGGGACAGCCAGCCTGGGCTGGGGAATGCAAGTGATGTTTTACTGGCCACATCACATCTCCTTCCAGCTTGTGGGGTGTAACTGGCATCCTGGTGAGTGGCAGCAGCAGGGATGGATGGAATAGGAGTTAATCTGTGCTCACCATCTCTCTTGATCTCTCCTTCATTTCCATTTCTTTTAAAAATGGAAGCTTTATTAAAACAGCAGCACTTTTCTATTAAATGAGTAACGAGAGGAATGACTGCCTCTGTATCTCAGCAGCAGAGAATCTTTTGAAAATCACTGAAGAGTCAAGGCTCAAACCAGATATTTAATAAGAATCACTTGGAGATCACTTCTTAAAGCAATTAACAGATGATTAGAGATAAGCGAGATGCAACAACGAGACCCAGATCTCAGACAGATTTCTCCCGGGGTCACCCTGCAGTCACAAACCGTGTCAGGGCAGAACAGCAGAGGAAATTCCCACTTTGCAGCCTGATTTTGCTCCTGTTTCCAGTGGTTTGGAAGCTGGAGCAGGGAGAAGGGGCCAACACCTCCCCGGGGCTCTGCCCCAGCTGAGGCTCCTGGAGCCCAGGGTCCATCTCCACCTTCCCTTCCTGCTGCTGGCTCAGGGGCTGCTTTTCCTTCTGGAGCACGAAGGAAAGGCAGGCCTGAGCCTGAACATTCCAAAGCACCCAGGGCTCAGCAGCAGCAGGCTCCTCGTGCTGTCCCCGGGTGTCTGTGCCACCTGGCAGTGGCACCAGGGACACGCGGCCATCGCAGAGGGACCGGGGACAGGCAGGGGCTGGGACAGAGCCAGGCCCTGCTGGCCAGGGGCTCAGCACAGCCAGGATGGAGCCCAGCACAGCCACACCTCCCATCCAGCCCTGCTGTGGGAGCAGATGGGGCTGGGGACCTCACCCCACCCCTGTGACATGTGACAAAAGCCATCTGCTGCCACCCTGGGCACTGGCAGGGCTCGAGCTGGGCTGAATTACAGCACAGGCAACATCCAGGGGCTGTCTGGCTGCTTATCCTGACCCACACAGTCTCTCCCTCCAATATTTGCTCAGTTTAAGGGCATTCCACCAGCTGGACCAGAGCTGTGGGGTCTCAAAGCCCTCAGGGTGTCCTGGAGTCACCAGGAAATTGCTTCTCTTAGAAGGCAGCAACAAAGGCAGGGGGAGCTGGCTCATGCATCCACAGAGTTGTGGTCATTTCGGGTTTGGAAGTGCTCGAATTTATTACACAAGGGGTGATGCAACAGCGAAAAAGAGAGCAAAATTCGACATTGACTCTCTACTCTGCAGGTCAGGACAACTAAGAGGTTTTACTTCATTAAGGAAGGCAGGGGAAAAACCAGAGACAGCCCCAGTGGTTGAGGGAGCCTTGTAAAGCCTAAATGAACAATCAGTCCTAGGTGATGCTAGTTGCTGTAGAAGGAACAATGAAATAGATCTGCTTCTGTTCAATAAATTACTAAAACATCAGTTATAAACCTGCTGCATGGCATTGGAAATTGAGCTCGTTAAACATCCAGGGAGCTTCATCCTGATGCAAATGGAAGACAGGCATGAGTGCTCTGCAGCAAAGGACTCTGTGCACATCCCAGCTTGGGAAACATATTTACACATCCATCTCATATATTAATCTATTTTAGTGCACCCTAGCCAGAGGGCAGCCACAAAGAGGATTATTCTGGGAGAAGGACAGGAGATGGGCTGGTTTCTCCTCCCTGCTGAGCAAAGCCTGTGTCCACCCACGTCCAGCAATTCTGCAGGATCCTCTCTCCCTTCTCCTGGCAGCCACACGTCAGGGCCCCAAGCAGAGGACTCCCAGGTGGATTTGGCAGCCAAGATTTGGTAGCCAGGATTACTGTGAGCCAAAAATAAATCAGGTGAGATCCCTCCACCAGAGCAACAAGCCTGAAGTGGCTTCAGGGCCAAGAATTTCAGCCAAGCTGCCATTTGTTGGTGCCTTGGCCTCCCTCCCTGTCCCTTCCACAGCCCAGGAAGGGCTGCAGTGACTCTGGGGACCTTGGCCAGGCCTGAGCAGGCAGGACAGGGGTGCTCAAGCCTCTGAGCACATCCCTGCTGTCACCCAGAAGGGCAGGCAGACATCCCAGGCCATGCCCAAGGGAACCCCTTTGGGGTTTCTATGGAGGGAGGTGCTGGCTTGGCCAGCAGCGTGTGGGTGATGGAGAGGGGGCAAGGGGAGGTCAGGGGGTTTGTTACACTGCATTCTTTTGGGTAACTTCTGTGATCAGAGGTTGGAAAGATCCCTGGGAGCTGCTGGGGCATGTTTTGCTTCTCCAAAACTCAGGGAAGGGGCTGCTGGATGCAGGGGCAAGAAAGGGAAAAGGGAACAAGGACTCAGCAAAACATCACATCCTTCAAAGTCGCCTCCGTTGGGGCTTGGGAACGTTTTCCTCTCCCAAGCTTCTCAGTTTCCACACTTGCCAGGCAGGTCTGTCCAGGGTCATGGTACAAACCTCCCCAGCCCTTTGGGAGAGCTTGGAGTTGTGTGGGAAAGCAGAAGTTCCCTGTCAGTAAAAGCTCCCAGACTGCTCCAGCAGGGAATGTGGCACCTCTTGGAGAGCTGGCCAGAGGGAGCAGCAGTTCTGAGGCAGCCCCACACAGCTGGGATCAGCTGGGGGAGACTCACATGTGGTAAAAGCAAAGCCACAGATGCCCATCTCCCCCAGGTCCTCTCCCAGGAACACGAAGAAAGCTCTGGTTGATATTCCATCCTTTCCAAAGGAGTCCAGGCAGATCAGTTCCCTCAGCCGTGGCTCAAGTCAGACTTCCCTGACTCTTTCAGCCTCTACTTGATGAGGTTTTTAATTGTCCACCTCTGCCCCGTGCAGCTGCGGAGGATCAGGTCAATGCCAGCCATGCCCCTGTTCTCCACCTCCAGGCACCGGCCCGTGCCCTTGTTCAGGATGGCTCCGTTCTGCAGTCAGGGGAGATGGGAAAAGATGGAAAAATGAAGATATTAATTGTCTGGGAAGCAAAGCAGGACCAGAAGGGCAGCCCTGGGCACTGCTGGAAGGGACACTCAGCTGGGTGGGAATGCAATGCCAACAATAAAATAATTCCCCAAATAAATGGAGTGAGTGACTCCCTGTCCCTGAAAGCACCCAAGGAACACATGTAACCTTTAAATCCCACAGCTGCTGGGAAGTGGGACCCTTCTGTAAAAGCTGTATTATTGTCCTGGGCTGTAAGATATGTGTGTGTTCTGTCACCCTCTGTCAGAGCTGGGGTTTTGCATTTTCCATTTCAAGGGAGGCTCCTGCCTTCCTTAGCAGACACCTGTCTGTTCAAACCAAGACAGTTATTTACGCTCTGCTTTGAGACAAAAGAGCATGAAGGAATTTCACTCTTCATCCGCAAGAAACAAAGGAATCTGGAAGTCATTGGCAGATCAGACATAACCAGACCCACCTTTCTTCTACCAGAAGGGAAAACTGATTAGAAATTGTCCTGAAATGCTGCCCTGATCCCTCTTAACCGCCTCCCTCTGCCCCAGGAGCTGGAATTTGCTGTGCCATGGCACCATTTCTCCTTTGTCCCACCCCATCCCAGGGGCTGTGTCCCAGCCAGGGCTCGGGACACAGCAGAGGTGTGGCTGTTTCTCTTCACAGACAAAAGCAAGGCACAACTTCCCAAGGACATTTCTGGGAATCGCAGTGAGGAACCTCAGAGAAAAAAAAAACCAATTCTTATCTCAGTTGCTGCTCCTCTTGTTGTTCACGAGTGGAATGCATCATGGAAGATTGTTCACCTGAAGGGAACTGGTAATTGGGTTCTGGCGTGAGTGTTTTCATTCACTGACCAACTGAATCCTCAGGACTGTCAGCTGCCAGTCACGAGATTCTGGGCAGTTGAGCTGAGCCGAGTGCGTGTGCAGACTCAGTTCAGATGTAATGCAATACAGTATAGAATAACACAGTGTAATGAAGTAATTAATTAGCCTTCTGATATCAATGGAGTCAGACGCATCACTTTCTCCCCTCGTCAGGGGTCGCCTTTTACCACACAGAGGAGCCCCGAGGGCAGCCCCAGACACACCTGGATGAAGTTCCAGCGCTTGTGGAGGCTGCTCTTGACCTTGTCACAGTCCAGCAGCTGCGGGAAGCGGCTCTTGCCCGTGTCCACCAGGCAGCGCGTGTCGGGCAGCAGCGTGGTGGTGCCCAGGGCCCCCAGGTGCAGGAAGCCCTCCTTGGTGTAGCGAGCCAGCTGGGGACACACAGAAACTCCGTGTCAGTAAAAGCTCCCAGACTGCTCCAGCAGGGAATGTGGCACCTCTTGGAGAGCTGGCCAGAGGGAGCAGCAGTTCTGAGGCAGCCCCACACAGCTGGGATCAGCTGGGGGAGACTCACATGTGGTAAAAGCAAAGCCACAGATGCCCATCTCCCCCAGGTCCTCTCCCAGGAACACGAAGAAAGCTCTGGTTGATATTCCATCCTTTCCTAAGGAGTCCAGTCCCTCAGCACCTCAGAACATCAGCACAGAGGGACAGGACAACAGAGAGCCCCTGGGAACATTGTGTGGGGATGCACAGGAAAGGAAAGCAGAGCTGGGAGGAATAAATCCCAACCTTCTGCAGCCTTTTATCCCTGCTTGGGTTTTTATTTTTTCCAGATGCAGGTGAGGAACTGAGACACAGGAAGGGGTAGGAATAATTCCAAGCCTTAAAGCAGCCTCCTGGAATGCTGTGGGATGGGGCAATGGATGGTTTTCTCTGGGCTCCAGCTGGAGCCAGCTGGCCTGGCTGGCCCTGCTGGGTGAGCCAGCCTTGGCTGGGGCTTCTGTGTGCCTGGCACAGCCTCCAGGGCTCCAACCAGGCAGCAGCACCAGCAGAGGGGCCAGAACTGGGATGGGGGCCTGGATCTGCCCTCGGGAAAGGCCCAGGATTGCAGCTACCCTGGCCATTCCCATGGGATCCAACTGCCCAGGGCTGCCAGGGGAGGTGGGATGGGAGCAGTGGGCAGGGGTGACGCCCTTGGGGCCACTGGGCACACAAAGGACTCCTCCACTTCAAGGAATGCCACCACAATATTTCCCTAAACACATTTAAATTCTGGAGTGAGAAGAAAGGAATGCCAGTGTCCTGCCTTTTATAGTTCAAGGGAAAGATCTCCACAGCTGCTTATTTAAATTATGAATCAGGCCATTATCCAGCAGACAAATAAGGAGGATTCAGCACGTTAATTAACTGAGCATATCTGTGATCCAGATGCCAGAGAAGAGGCAGTAAATCCCACTGGGAGTTTGGGTTATCTGGGCTGTAATAATTAAACACTGGAAATCAAGTTAAAACAATGTAACAGGGTCAGACTGCAGCTCCTGACCCCAGAACCAGTCAGGGTGCCCGGCTCCCTTGGGCTGGGCCTGGCTCTGCTCCCAGGTGCTGCTGGAGTTACACCCAGAGTGAAAATGTTGTGTATCAGAGCAGGCCCTGAGCTCCTCACCTCTCCCTGATGCTCCTTTGCCAGGTGCTCCCCACAGGAGAGGTCAGGAGCAGCCCAAACGCTGATCACGGAATCCTGGAATGGTTTGGGTTGGGAGGGACAGCAAAGCCCACCCAGTGCCACCCCTGCCATGGCAGGGACACCTCCCACTGTCCCAGGCTGCTCCAAGCCTGGCCTTGGGCACTGCCAGGGATCCAGGGGCAGCCACAGCTGCTCTGGGGGCAAAGCTGCCCCATCTCACCCTCCCTGGGCAGGATGTGCCCTTCTGTCCCCAAAGCCCTTTGCAAGGCAGACTCACAGAATCACAGAATCACAGAATATGCTGAGTGGGAAGGGAGCCCCAGGGATCACCCAGCCCATCCCTGGCCCTGCACAGACACCCCACCAATCCCACCCTGGCCATCCCTGGAGCTCCTGGAGCTCTGGCAGCCTCGGGGCCGTGCCCATTCCCTGGGGAGCCTGGGCAGTGCCCAGCACCCTCTGGGGGAAGAACCTTTCCTGAAATCCAGCCTGACCCTGCCCTGGCCCAGCTCCAGCTGTTCCCTGGGTCCTGTCCCTGTCCCACAGAGCAGAGATCAGTGTCTGCCCCTCCTCTGCCCCTCATGAGGACCATGGAACCGTGATGAGTCTCCCCTCAGTCTCCTCCAGCTGAACATCCCAGTGCCCTCAGCTGCTCCTCCCACAGTTTCCCTTCCAGACCCTTCCCCATCCTGTGGCCACCCCTGGATGTGCTGATGGGCCCAGCCTTGAGCCACACAGTGCTCTCAGCCTGCCAGAGGGGTTTCAACCATGCAACTCAGCTGAACTGGCATCTGAGCACCAAATCCAGAGCACCCAGGTGCCCCCAGCAGAGGAAGGACATGGAAGTGTTGGAGCAAGGCCAGAGGGGCACCTTGAAGTTCAGGGATTGGAGCACCTCCTCTATGGAGCCAGGCTGGAAAGCTGGGACTGTCCACCTGGAGAAGAGCAGGTTGTGTGGAGACCTCATAGCACCTTCCAGGGTCTGGGGAGTTCCAGGGAAGCCAGAGAGGGACCCTGCATCAGAAACTGGAGGGACAGGACCCAGGGGAACGGGGTCAAACTGATGGAAAGCAGGGTTAGATGGGATATTGGGAATTAGGAATTGTTCCCTGGCAGGGTGGGCAGGCCCTGGCACAGGGTGCCCAGAGCAGCTGTGGCTGCCCCTGGATCCCTGGCAGTGCGCAAGGCCAGCCTGGATGGGGCCTGAAGCAGCCTGGGACAGTGGGAGGTGTCCCTGCCATGGCAGGGGTGGCACTGGATGGAATTTTAGGTCCCTCCAATCCAGACCATTCCATGGTTCTCTGATGACACTTCTTGTCTTGCAGGAAGAAAAAGCTGCATAAAGGCAAAGACAAACCAGAGACACCTCTGGCTGTCACAGAGGCAGAAATGACCCAGATGTCCCAAATGGGCAGAGCCAGTCCCCTGCCATCCCCTTGGGAAGGAGCCTGCCAGGCTCTCCCCTTTCAGATGGCCTTTGGCAGCCTGTCCCCACAGAGCTGGCCCATGCCCCGGGGCACCAGGACCCTGCCCTGCCATGGCACTGCCCAGTGTGCTGGGAACAGCAAGTGGAGCAGAAATGCCACCCTGCCCTGGGAAGGGAGCGGGCAGGGCTGGAACACAGCAGGGATTGAGGCAGGAAATGCACCTGGCACAGGTGAGATCTGTGCTGGGAACAGGGGGAAAGGCAGCCCAGGCCTGAGCCACTCACCCACACAGCACAGCCTCAGCAACAGCCACTGCAACCCCCAAGGCAAACCTGGGGGGATTATCCCCCAAAAATCCCATCTAACTCCTGTGTGCAAGTCCTGCCATGCTCCCACAACATTAATGGGATTTTCTTCTCCTGGGATGGCTGTAGAGAATCACAGAATGGTTTAGGAGGAAAAGGGGCTTTAAGGATCCTCTCCTTGCACTCCCTTCCACTGTCCCAGGCTGCTCCAAGCCCCATCCAGGCTGGCCTTGGGCACTGCCAGGGATCCAGGGGCAGCCCCAGCTGCTCTGGGCACCCTGTGCCAGGGCCTGCCCACCCTGCCAGGGAACAATTCCTAATTCCCAATATCCCATCCATCCCTGCCCTCTGACAGCGGGAGCCATTCCCTGTGTCCTGTCCCTCCATCCTGTGTCCCCTGTCCCTCTCCAGCTCTCCTGGAGCCCCTTTAGGCCCTGCAAGGGGCTCTGAGCTCTCCCCAGAGTGTTCTCCTCTCCAGATGAGGCACCCCCAGCTCCTCCTAGTCTCTCCTCACAGGACAGGTTAATTCCCTAATCCCTCTTTTGTTATTTTGCTCCTCTCCAGAGCGAGCCACCGGCCCCAACCCAGCCTGGGACAGGACAAGAAACAAGGGAAAAACCAAGATAAAGGACCACAGGAAAATAGTTTAAAACTATTCCCAAGCCAGGCATTTCAAAGTGGCTCAAAGTGATGAGGTCTTTAACCCCTTCACCAGTTTGAGTGGCCCAAAGCCACATCCCCAGCAGTGACTGACAGCCCCAGCCCCCGGAACAGCCTTCCACAAAACCTCGTCCAGGAAACTGCACCCGGCCACATTCCCACCTTCAGCTGTCCCTGGAGGCAATCCCAGGATCACTGGGGCTGGAAAATCCCTCCAAGGCCATCGAGTCCCTTCTGTGCCTCAGCCCCACCTTGTGCCCAGCCCAGAGTACTGAGTGCCACCTCCAGCCCTTCCCTGGGCATCTCTAGGGATGGGCACTCTAATTCCAATGCCTGGCCACCCTTTCCAGGAAGGAATTCCCCCAAAATGCAGCCTAAGGCTCCCCTGGCCCGGCCTGGGGCCGTTCCCTCTCCTCCTGTCCCTGTTCCCTGGAGCACAGCCCGACCCCCCGGCTGTCCCCTCCTGGCAGGAGCTGTGCAGAGCCACAAGGGCCCCCTGAGCCTCCTTTGCTCCAGGCTGAGCCCCTTCCCAGCTCCCTCAGCTGCCCCAGGGCTGGGGCTGATCCCCCCTGGTAAAGCTGCACCTCCAATCCATCTCCTGTGGTTGTGATTTCTGGCTGGCTGCATCTCAGGGATGGCAGAAAGTTAATTAGACATCCCAGCACCTGGGAAATAAAAGCCTTGATGACCTTCATTGACTCTATTGGAAAATAATTTCGGGTTGTTTAGCTTCCCTTCTGCTCTGAGCAGAACATCAATTAGCAGCCATCAGTAAAATGTTCAGGATTTGCCTTTTACCACAATTTAATCTGATTAAAGGGTGCTGTTTCGTCACCCCTGCTCCTGCCGTGTCCCCCATGAGCTCAGTATTGATGGCTTTGTCCTCAACTTCTGCTGCTTAAATGGGCAAAACATATTTTATCCTATAATTAAATGAAATGCTCTGCTGGGTGAACATTATCTTAAGTTTTATAGCATTATAGTGCTTTCTATCACCTTAATATATCACCATAGCTGTGTCACTGCAATGAGCTATGGCTGCATTATTAGTGTAATACATCATTACAGCAAGGTGCTTCCATGAGGGATTGTCTCAAAGATGAAGCCATCAAGCAGGAAAAAAATCCATCAGCAGCCTCAATATAATTACAGGATAAAAGGATGATGATGGAATCTCATAATGATTTGACCTGGAAGTGAATGGAAGCAGAGAGAACAGAAAGCTGAAGGGAAAATAAGAGAAAATTCCCCAAAATTTTACTCAGTGAGGGATGAGTGAGTAAAGGCAAGATCTCACCTCCATTCAGAGCCACCACCCTGAACTGCATCCAGGCTGAGCTTAAATCCATGGGCAGCCACAGGAGAGAGCAGAAATTGGGGGTGGGACACAAAGTGTCCAAAATGGTCCAAATCCCTGCTGGCAGACCCAACATTCCCTCTCTCCCAGCTGGGCTGGGGATCCACAGCCAGAGGGGTGGGCTGGGACTGGATTTAGGAACAGGGAGGGTTTCCAAGAAGATCCCAGCACCCTGGTGTGGCAGGAGCAGGAGGCACAGCCCCCCTGTCCTTGGGATGTGCCAGTGCCAGCAGGGACCCCACACCTGCCCCTCTGTCACTGCTGCCAGGGCTGGCAGTGAAACCATTTCTGGATTCTGAAATAAGGAATGTCTGGGGTGTCACAATGTCTGGGATGGCCCCCCGGATCAGGGAGAGAAGGGGGGATTTTAGGACACCACGTGTGGTTTGGGATGAGCTCAACAGCTCTTTGTGGTGTTTCATACACATACAAATAAATAAAAATTAAACATATATATATATACATATAAGCCAGTGTTTCCATTACTTCTAATTCAATTCCCAGCCATAAATTACAACCTGCAGCCCATTAATTAAACAGTTGTAGGGAATGTCCAATTTCCTTCATGGTGCCACAAAGGCTATTTCAAAGCTTCTGCACTTGCTGATAGCTGCTTAAAACCAGCATTTTCCAGGAGTTTCATTAATTGGATGTATCAGAAACAAAGGAACTGCCAAGAACTGGCTCTCAGCTGAAGAGGGAAGGGACACTGGGGAGAGGGAAGACCAGGAAGGATGAAATGGGCAAGTTCCAGGCAGCCAGCAAAATTTGACTTCAGAACTTCAAGCAGGGAGAGAAAACATTGTTAAACTTAATCCAAATAACACCAAGGGAAAAAGAAATACCCTGCTCTCAGCCATTCACCCTACAGCCCAGGGTCAGCAGCAACTGGCAGCCCAATCCAGTTTCTCACACAATAATGCACTTAGAGGCTCAGATTTGCAGCCACAAAGTGCAAAAGGCAGTTGGTGCCATTTAAGAGGAAAATGGGGTTTTTGAGCAAGAGCAGGCTCTGTTTAGCAGGGCCTCCACCAGCCCCAGGGACTGATCTTTGTTTAAGGCCAGGGTAAGCCAAAGTGGGATCTCCTCCACCCCACAGCTGGTTCCCAGCTCCTCCAGCTCCCAGCTCAGGCTCAGGTGAGCTCTGGGATCCCTTAGTCCAGGGAATGTGGACTGAGAACAGGATTTTTATGTTTTCCATTCCTTGAACTGTACATTTTGCAACTGAAAATGAATCTCCTCGAGCCTGCTGGGCCCCAGATGCTCCAAAACTTTTGGAGAGGCAAAAGGAGTGCTGGAAAACAAATTCCAGCCAAGCTGAAATGGCTCATTACCAGAGCACTAATTGTTTTCTTTACCCCATTAGTCTGGGTTTATTCTGCTGGTGGAAGAGAAGTAATCCCACAATGGGCTGGGTTGGAAGGGACCTTAAAGATCATCCAACCATCCGACTCCCATCCAAGCTGGCCTTGGGAAGGAAACTCTCAGACTGTGTCCATGATTATTGCTATTTGCCTGCCTTTGTCTGGAAGATTTTATTTTAAACCACAAATTTCAATATGTTTTTTGTTTCAAACTGCAAAAATCTCAACCTTCCAACATTTTCAATTTACAAAGGTTTCCAATTTCTTTCAAGGCTTTTCCTTGCAGGAAAATGGGATTATGGGAAGGATGATGGGGATACACTGCAGGAGCAGCTGGGAAAACCCCTGTGACACCCGAGGTGTTTTTAACACTGGAGAGCAAAGGCCACAGCCCCAGCCTGTCCCCTGGGGTGCCACCTGGCCGTGGCAGTGCCAGCCTCACCTGTGGGCCCCAGCCATGGCACGGGTACAGTATTGCTGTGTGGTTCTCCTGCGGGCCCTGGTCCAGGCACACGTCCTTGGCCTTGTTGTTCCGCAGCTGGGACGGGAAAAAGGGGCAGAGTTAAGGGACAAAAGGGGCAGAGATAAGGCACAAAAATGGCATCATTATGGTGAGAAAAGAGCAGAGTTGTGGCACAAAAATTAGCAGAATTATGGCAGAGGAAGGGCAGAGATAGGGGAAAAAATGGAAGAATTATGGCAGAAAAAATGGCAGCAATAAGGCACAAAAATGGCAGAATTATGGCACAAAAAGGGGAAAAGTTATGGCACAAAAGGGGCAGAGTATGGCAGTAAAATGGCAGAGATAAGGCACAAAAATTAGCAGAATTATGGCAGAAAAAGAGTAGAGTTATGGCAGAAAAAGGGCAGAGTTATGGCACAAAATATGGCAGAATTATGGCAGAAAAAGGGCAGAGTTATGGCACAGAAGGGCCAGAGTTAAGGCATAAAAATGGCAGAATTATGGCAAAAAAGGGCAGATTTAAGGCACACAACAATGGCAGAGTTAAGGCACAAAAGGGGCAGAGTTAAGGCCCTCTCTTATCAGAGAGAAGCAGGAAATGGATGCTCAGCCCTCTGCACCCTCTCTAGCTCTCACTGCTGTATCACCAGGAATAATCAAGCAAGGAAAATTTACAGAGTACTATATTTTTTTTTAAATCCAAGGCTAATGATGGCTGGTTTTGCATAATAATCCCCATTCCAAGGAGCAGGGTCTCTGGCCACAGCTGGCTCTGTGTTGGTCATGGGTGGTGGGGACAAACCCAGGTTTAGGCTGCCAGAAATCAATGCAGGACCCCTCAGATTTCAGTGAAATCTCAAGAGTTCTCAACAAGGCAGGGAAAAAAGCCCAACTCAAACAAGGATCACCTTGGAATCTTCACATCCTTGCTCCAACTGGGCTTTTTTTCCAACCCAAACTATTCTGAAATTTCATTTTCTATCAATATTTAATTTTTTGGGAGGTTTTAGCTTGAAGGACTTAAATAACTTTGGTAACAAATCTTTCCTAAAATGAATAAAAATGAATAACCCATCCGGGGTGCCCAGGCTTCGAGGAGCCTTCTGCAAGTGCCACTACTCCATCAATTCCATTGCAGCAGAGGATTTGTTATTAGTTCCCATAAATGACTCTTTCTATATTCCCAGAATGGTTTCAAAGCCAGCAGAGATTGAATTAAGTCCCCTTATTTTATCTTGTCCTTAAGCTGTTGTGACAAGGCACTGAATCCTCCAGAGACCTTGTCAGGAATTAGGCTGTGTTCAAGTTCAAGGGTTTTAGAAGATGCCAGTGTATTAAAAATACAAATACAAATCCATGGAGTCAATGGGAAATATGGATAATTTCTGTCAATTCACTAAATTATGTATTAACATCTTTTACTTTATACAGTCTTCAAGATCACCAACAAATTCCCAAACTGGTTTTTAGAAGAAACTGGGAGCAGATTTATGCAAATTTAGATAATTACACAGAAAAAGTCAGTTTTGATTCAGACTCCTCTCCTTTGAGGCTGTTTCTCATCAGGGACTGTAAATATTAGCAGGCTGAGCTAAGGGACTAAATTACCTCTCCATAAGCAATGGTGTTGTTGTATCTCCTCATTTCTGGATAAACATGGTCCAGGTACCACTGGAAATTTTTACACTTCAGGCTCTTCCTCAAGGCTTTCCTCTCAGAAACATCCCCAATGTCAATCCCTGGATTCTGAAAAGTAACAACAGGACATCATTGAATGGTCACACTTCCAAAAAAAGGTACAATGAAAGTATTTCCCTGAGCTTTGAGATCCTTTTCAAACTGCCTGGGGTGGTTGAGTAATTCCAGGAATTGGGATGTGTGTTGGGGGGAAACCATCAGAAGGAAGATGTGGCTTCCAGAGGGGGACACCAACTGTTGGGGGTTCTCTGCTGGGTTTTGAGGCCCCCCTCGCATGACCAAAGCTGGACAGGCTTTGGTCCTCAGGGATAATATAAAAAAGAGGAACCACAGGGAGAAGAAAAGGTTTGGAGGAAGGTTGGGAAATGCACAGAAACTGGGGAGTCTTCTCCTGGGTTTGGATCCATCTGACAAAGACTGATCTGTATTTTTAAACAAGGTATTTTTAAAATATTTCTCCTCCTGTTTGGGTTCTGAGGCACAGGTTCAGCAGCAAGTGGATATCAGGATTTAAAAGATGGAAATGCAAACCCTGGCTGGGCACTGAGCACCAAACCCTTCCCTGACCCCACTGAGACACAACCCAGAGGAAGGGCGGGGTAAAAGGTGTAAAATAAATGGGAAAAGAATGAAGGAAAGATAGAAAGGTTCAAGATTCAAATGTCGCAGAGGCAGACAGCTGAGAATAAAGGATAAAAATTGCATGAGAAGAAAAGCTGAGGCTGAAGCTCAGCAAAAGCTCTTGGCAATTTGGGCAATTCCAGGGTGGAATGGTCTCCCTGGAGACACAGCAGAACCCCACTGCTCTGCAGCCACAGCTGGCGCTGGGCAATGACCCAGCAGGAGCTGGGAGCAGGGCTGGAGCTGCCCCCTTTGCTCCACCCTGGGATCTGGGGGCTAATGCAGCAGGGGAGCCAAAGGCAGGCACACAGCAGCTCCTTCTTCCTGCACTGCCTGGGCCCCCACCCGCTCCAGCTCCTGCTCTTGTCTTTCCCAGAGATCATTAAACACAACTGGGAAAGCAATTTTCCATTACAATGCTTGTAATGATCTCCTAATGAATTATTCACTCTGCTTTAGAAGAGACACCGTTTCCATGTGCCCCTGGTAGCTGAGAGGTAAAAATAAAGATGATTCAGTGGAGAGAGGCAGGACAGGCAGAGATCTGAGTGGGTGAGGTGGGGCTCAGAGCAGGCAGGCAGCACCTGGGATGGGCAGGACAGGGCTTTGCCTTGGCATCACAAAATAATCCAGTGCACAGCCATAAATCCTGCCCCACACAACAAGGCTTCCCTCAAATTAAATCTTAATTTGATTGGGAAGAGACCAGTATAAAAATCTCCAATGGATTTTGGGGAACCCAGACCTATTGGGACGACCTACATAGAAATCTCAAGTTGATTTTGGGTCACCCGGGTCTGTTCCCACCCCCACTGCTGATCCATGTGATGCTGCCTTTTCCAAGCTGCACAGGATGGATTTTAATCCTTTCTGCAATGCTCCCAATCTGGTCCTGAGCATTTGGATCTTGAAGCCTCTTTTTAAGATGCCCAAATTCCCTCAGTCCTGGAGGCAGCTCCCCCTCTCCCAGCCCCTGGAGTGGTGCCTGTCAGAGCCAGAGCCCTCCTGCAGCTCCCTGGGAAGGCAGCTTTCCTTTCCATCTCTATTCCTGTATTCCCCACCCCCAGGACCACAAAGCTGCAGCTCCTGGCCCTTCCCAGGCTGTTCCCCAGTGCAGCACAAAGCTGTGGCTGCCGTGGCCCAAATTCCAGCACTCCCCAGATGTAACCTGTGCTCAGCAAGCTGCAGCAGCAGCAGCTCAGGTTTTTGTGCTTTCCTGTTTTCCCAAGGGCCTGCAGCAGACACCAGCTGGGGGTGCTCCCTCAGCAGCTCCAGGGCTCAGCAGCTCTTTAAGCCTTGGCCAAGCAGGAATATTTTGTGCTCATTTTTAGCCCCCAGGTGGGCCTGGACACTTGTGGCACCAGTCTGACCTCCCAGGGAAAGTGGGCAGCCCCCAGTGCTCGTTCACCCATGACCCAGGGGCATCGCTGCCTCCCCATGCCCACCTCCCTGCTCCTCCCTGGCAGTGCCAGTGCAGGAATGGGCATTGATCCTGCCAGGGCTGCTCCAGGCAGGGTTTGCAGCCAGGAACCAGGAGATGCTCTTGGCTTCCAAGATCAGACACAGCCTGCAGGGAGGCAGAGCCCCAGCAGCAGCCTTGGAGCTGCAGAAATCCCTCCTGGAGCCTGTGGAGCTCTCCCAGAAGTGCAGGGAGTGATCCCTGTGCAGGAGGTGTCCCTGGACATGCTCACCTGGTGGCACCTTGTGGTTTTTCCAACCAAGCTGTGAGGTGGCAGGATTTACACCAAAATTAATGTGTCAGATCCAAGAAAACCTCATCATTTCTGGGCAGTACCTGTGGCACCCCGTGTGGTTTTCCAAAGATTCACCAAGCTGGGAGGTGGCAGGATTTACACCAAAATTAATGTGTCAGATCCAAGAAAACCTCATCATTTCTGGGCAGAAATCAAAGGAACCACCAAAGCTCTTAAAGGAGAAGGTTTAAGGGAAAGGGAATCCCTTCTGTGAGCCACCAGCCTTCAATCCTTTACCTTTAAACTTTCCAGCACTGGGAAAACAAACAGCCCCAGCCCCTGGGGAGCTCTGGGAGGGATCTGTGTCCACGAGCTGGGAACCTGAGCTGGGCTGGAAGTGACACAGGAATAAACCTGAGGCACTAACAGTGCTGACTGCCATCAATAATCTGTCTGCAGACTCACTCCGCCTGCAGAGCTGTGTCAGGACATCCCCTCACGCTGGGTAAACACTCAGGGGGAAGACAAACACCACAGTCCAGGTTTAATTCTTAGAACCACACGGGAAAGGCTGTGGGAAGAGCAGGAATCCCTGCACAGCCTGCAGCTCCTGGAGCCTCTCCCTCAAAGCCGAGGGGGCTCTGCTGGGGCTGACACCCGGGGGGTTAGGGCTGAGCTTAGGGACAGGAACTGCTCCAGAATTCAGGTTTTTAGCACCAGGTGCCCTCGAGGGCAGGCTGTACCTCCAGGGGCAGGTTCCAGGCGATGTAGACGTGCCACTTGTAGTCGTCCATCCAGACCTCGGCCACGCGCAGCGCGTTGCGCTTGGTGTAGAAGCCGATGTTGTTGTTGTAGGGCTTCTTCTTGCGCTCGATGTGGGCCACCCTGGAGCAGGGCAGCACCTCCATGCTGCCCCCACACAGCCACACCTGCAACACAGCCACAGCTCTCAGCACGGGCAGCACCCGGGGCAGGGCAGAAAGGATCCTGAGCGCTCCCGTTATCCCGCGATCCCGGGTCTCATCCTGGCAGCAGAGCCCACGGCCAGGGCTGGCCTCTGCCCAGCACTGACACACAGGGGGCATTTGTGGGGTTAGAACTGCAGGATCTTCATGTCCCTTCCAACCTAAACCACCCTTGGATTGAAGCCTCTTTTTAAGATGCCCAAATTCCCTCAGTCCTGGAGGCAGCTCCCCTCTCCCAGCCCCTGGAGTGGTGCTGGGCAGAGCCAGAACCCTCCTGCAGCTCCCTGGGAAAGCATCTCTATTTCTATATTTTCTGTATTTCCAAGCCAAACCACCTGTGCCCAAAGCTTTAGAGGGATCAGGTCTCCTCCTCACCCAGTGAAGGATCCAGTGCTGTGTTTCCCCCAAATCAAAACCATTAGTGACTGGGACAGCTCAAACAATTCCAAGATTCCCTCCTGCAGAAGGGATGAGTCAGTGAAACATATGGCAGGGACAGATTTCTCCCACTTGAAAATGTTTGTTCATTATTGTTCTTTCATGTGCTGCTTCTAATTCCCTTAAATCACAGTTTACAAGTTAATAAAATCTTGTAAGATCCTCTTTTGATCTCCCGCACAGGGGATTTGCAGGAAGACTTGCCATACCTGCCTTCTTCCCTGCCTGTTTGTCACCAGCAAGAAGTTATTTACCTTCCAGACAGGACTCCAGGCCCTGGGCAATCACTCCAAAGCCACACTCCAAGCAGGCTGCTCTGCAGGATCATTCTGCACAATTATTGGAACACCCAGCATTTCTGGGATCCCTTCCAGGCTCACCACCTTTCCTCCCACCTGTGGGCCCTAATTTTCATGGAGCCTGCAGGATTCCCCTTCCAGCAGCACCAGGAGTCCCCAGCCTGGAGCAGTGCCCGGTGTCACCTCCCAGGGGTGGCTTTGGCCTCTCCAGAGTGGGCACAAGCCCAGGGGACAGCAGAGGGGGGTGGCACAGCGAGGGGACACTTCCCTCGGGACACCTCTGCTCCTCCTGCTGCTCCCTCCTGGACTGCTGCACAACAAAACACCTGGGCCTGTTGTATTTGTATCAGCTGCTGCACAAACGTGCACAAAATCCCATTGTACTCCTGCTCTGTCATTTGACCTTTCAGAACACTTAAAAGACAATTTCATGCCCCCGAGTGGATTCAGAGCCTGATCTCAGGCAGGGTCCTGCCTGTCCCTCCCTGGCCCTTCCCTCCTCCTCCCACCCCAGCCAGCTCAACAAGGTCCACTCAAGGTTTGCACAGGCCACAGGCAAAGCAAATCAGAGCTGAACCAGGCAACCCCACAGAAAAACAGATGTATTTTTAAAGGAATATTCCTAAGGCAGAAACTGCCTGTGTTTCTTGCCTGCTCAGTTCTTTAATTTCTCAGCATCTTGGTGAAATAGAGGAACGAGCTCTGCCCTTAGGTGCTCCCAAGGCTGCTGGGCTCAACCACTACACTGAATAAATCTTCCAGTCCAGAGTGATCCCCAGCATCTCCCGGTTTTGTACTTTTTGGGATTTGTTAGGTTTTGTCCTGATTTAAAATCAGAATAATTCTTTTGAAACTACTAAAATAATAATTAATGTGATTTTCCAGCAGCCCGCCCCAAGTCACACCATTGCTCTGCTACCCTTCTGAGCTTCAGTTAAATAATTAATGTCAGCATCCTTCCATATCAGGAATATCTATACAAACCACCTGGAAATCCTCACACTGGAATAACCTGGGTGAGGCAGAGAGCTGGCACTGAGCAAAGGGCACTGCCTGGGGGCACATCCACAGCCTGGCCCAGAGACATCAATACAAACTTAATTCAGGAATTATCCAAGGAAAGATCATACATCTACCTCCTAAACAGAGCCTGAACTGTCATTATAAATTTTTAAAACACCTGTTTTTATAAAGTATTTATAAATATTTCTGCTGGGAACAACAGGAGCAAAGAGAGCCGTGCCCCAGGAATGGCCAAGTCACATTGGAAGCTCTGTCCCAGGATCAGGAGTTGTTTGTTCCCACGTGGTCCCACAAGGAATTTCTGCCCCTCCTGCACCCAAAATGCAGGGGAAGAGCTGCACAGGGAGCTGCAGTGAATCCCCCCTGGCTATGGAGCTGTGCCTGCCCCACAAGCCCAGAGTGAGGTCTCAGCCCTTACCAAGGCTCGAGGGCACAGAATTCCTCCCCCTGCTGCCCACAGGACACAGCCAGAAGAGCCCAGTGCATCCCAACCCCCCAGCATGAGAGCAGGCACCTGCCCCGATGTGCCAGCCCTGACTTCACCCCATGGCACCCACCCTGGAGGGCAGGAGGGTCCTTGGGAACCTTTTGTGTCCCAGCTGAGCAGCCACTGATCCCAGCAAAGCCCTTTAACACACACAGCACCTTCCTGCTAAGGAATGCTACTGGATTTGTTATAGATACACATTGCAATATTGGCTTTTCACAAATGTTAAAATGGATTCTATATGTGTGATGTTAAAGTAACTTTGTTATGAAGATATAGTTTTTATTTCTGTTGTTAATTAAGCTCAGACATAGCAGTGCAATAGCTGACATCAGTGTGCTTGTGTTAAACTGCCTGCTGGGATGGGATAAGATCCAATGAACACGGGATCAGGACACCTGTACAGATCTGCCAACCATCAGCACTGTCTGAAGGCAGTGTGGGACAGGGCCAAAGCTGAAGGTGATGATAAAAAAGGACTAAAACCACAACCGAGGAATGTGCACGCTCTAAAAGCTGAACCCAAGGAGGAGCCATGCTAAACAATTCTTAGAACATGGAAACTAGTTCGGGGAAAAGTCTACTATGCATAAGGGTCTATGGAACACATGGAATATGGAACAGGCTGATGTAATTAAAAGGCACTTAAGGGGGATCCCCAAAGAGAACAGAGCACCTGGCCATAATAACCTTCACTCTGTGGTACTTGTCTCCCATTGTCCTTTATTAAACTTTTTACATTTTCACAGGAGAATGAATGTGTTTTTCACAGATTTTTCATGGAATCATAGAATCCTGGAATGGTTTAGGTAGGAAGGGACCTCAAAGCCCACCCAGTGCCACCCCTGCCAGGAATATGGAACAGGCTGATGTAATTAAAAGGCACTTAAGGGGGATCCCCAAAGAGAACAGAGCACCTGGCCATAATAACCTTCACTCTGTGGTACTTGTCTCCCATTGTCCTTTATTAAACTTTTTACATTTTCACAGGAGAATGAATGTGTTTTTCACAGATTTTTCATGGAATCATAGAATCCTGGAATGGTTTAGGTAGGAAGGGACCTCAAAGCCCACCCAGTGCCACCCCTGCCATGGCAGGGACACCTCCCACTGTCCCAAGCTGCTCCAAGCCCCAGTGTCCAGCCTGGTCTTGGGCACTGCCAGGGATCCAGGGGCAGCCACAGCTGCTCTGGACACCCTGTGCCAGGGTCTGCCCATCCTTCTAGGGTGGAATTCCCAATTCCCAATATCCCATCCAGCCCTGCCCTCTGGCAGTGGGAGCCATTCCCTGTGTCCTGTCCCTCCATCCCTTGGAAATTGTCCCTCTCACACAAAGCCATGCTCAGAGCTCAGGGTACAGTATCTCAGCAGGTTAAGTATGATGAGCAATGCTCCAGTTTTCCCTGTTGTCTGACATTCCCATTCCCACACAGCAATTAAATTGCCACTCATTCACCCATGAAGTGATACAGAACTAAAAATAGACACAGTCCCATCAGAAAATGAGGGTGAGTGAAAAACATCTCCATCAATCCACACACAGGAGGAATCAAACCCTTGGGAAATGCTGGGATTTGTAAAGAACCAGTTAAGACCAAACTCTAATGAAGGAATCCCAGAGAAACAAAGAAAACTAATCCATCACCCAGAGATCTTGGATGTGTTTTGCAGAAAGCTGCTGGGGAATACACTTGTAATTATTTTCCAAGGAAAATGTGACAGTCCTAAGGATTCAGCATGGAAAAGCAGTGACTTGTCTTGGGGAGGGAAATGTTCAAGCACAGCTGACACTGCACTGCTAAATCTGCTTCCCAGGAGCTTTGTCACGTGAGAGAAGGAGCCTCAGGGCGACCTTCCTGTTTTGTACCTGAAAGGAGTTTTGTCTTGGGTTACAAGATGTGGCTGGGGCTGTGTGTTCTATCCTGTTTTACTGCATTTTTATTTTATTTTCATTTTCTTCCCTAATAAAGAACTGTTATTCCTACTCTCATATCTTTGCCTGAGAGCCCCTTAATTTGAAAATTATAATAATTCGGAAGGAGGGGGTTTACATTTCCCATTTCAAGGGAGGCTCCTGCCTTCCTTAGCACACACCTGGCTTTTCAAACTGAGACAAGTTGTGAGACAGGTGGGGATCAGTCTCTTCTCCCAGATGACAAGTGACAGGACAAGAAGGGAAGGTTTCATCTTGTGCCAGGGGAGGCTGAGGGTGGACATTGGGAAAATTCCTTCCCTGCAAGGGTTGTCAATGCAGGCTGCCCAGGGCCGTGGTGGAATCACCATCCCTGAAGTCAGTGCCCTTGAAAATGCTCAAAACCCACAGGGATGTGGCACCTGGGGACAGGCTCAGGGGTGGCCTTGGCAGTGCTGGGGAATGGTTGGACTCAGAGGCCTTCTCCAGATTCCTGTGGGAGGCAAACCTTGGTTACCACGAGGCGTCCTTGAGGCCTGCTGTGCTCCAGGGATGGGATGAGCCAGCTTTGGTTCCCTGTCACCCTGTGGCAGCACAGACAGAGCTGTGAGAGTCTGTGACACCGCTGGGTGGTGACACCGCTGGGCCCTCAGCCCAGCAGGGCAGGCTCAGCAGTGGTACCTCAGCAGAGCCCAGGCCACGGGGTCCCCTGGGCACGGGGAGCTCCCGGCAGCACCAGCAGCTCCTGTGCCAGCTGCCAGGGGAAATCTGCTTTTCCAGTGCTCTGGCAGAGCTGGGGGTGCTC